TTCGGTTGTGGCCAGTTAATAATGGCGCTCGTTTTTCCCTGACCTGTTGCTACTCCATCTTCTATAATGCGATGCCCTAGAAAGAGCACTTCTTTTTGCAATAGTCGACATTTAGATGGTTTAACTTTTAGGTTATGCTGCTTAATTCGTTGTAGGACTGCCTTCAAATTGGCATTATGCTGTTCCGGCGTCCTGCCATACACAATAATATCGTCAAGGTAAATTAAACACTGGTGTGGTACGAGACCATGTAGAACTGTCTGCATTAATCGTTGGAAAGTGGCTGGGGCATTAGTTAACCCAAACGGCATCACTTGAAACTCATATAGACCATTGGGTACTGTGAATGCAGTCTTTTTTCTATCTTGAGGTCGGACTTCCACTTGCCAATACCCTGATGCTAAGTCTAAAGTCGAGAACCAACGAGCGCCTTTCATGGCATCTAATGTAGCGTCTATACGTGGAAGTGGGAAAGAATCACGTTTAGTTATAGCGTTAAGGCGGCGGTAGTCTCCGCATAGTCGTAGGGAAGAGTCTTTCTTTTTCACTAAAACGATAGGCGATGCCCATGGTGATGAAGATGGTACAATGATCTTTTTCTCTAGCATATCTTTTATCATTGATTCTAGTTGAGGCTGGTAATGTACTGGTACTCGGCGAGGTGGTTGACGTAGTGGCATGTGATCACCTGTGAGGATGGAGTGCTGTACAGTGGTCGTCCGATTTCCAGAGATATTCTCAGAGAAAACGGAACTAAATTGTTGGAGTACATCAGTGGTTGCTCGACGGTCTTTTTCACTTATTATTTTGTTATCCTGTATCTGACGTGCAATTTCTGAAATTCCTACCTGGGCTGCGGACTTAGTTGGTATTTCATGGTGTTGTATTTGCACGACAACTCCACCAATACTCGCTTCTGACTTATTCATGTGTATAGAGACCTGGTATTTTAACATGAAGTCGACCCCGAGAATCATGTCCCAAGTCAGTGTGGGGCAAACCCAGAATTCATGTTGAAAAGGCTTCTTGTCAATCGTCAGCTCTAACCCTATCTTAGAACACGCTTTCAAGGGTTCTCCGCTCGCGGTAATTAAGGTAGAAGAGCATTGTTTACGCTTAGTGCTGTGGTTAAGTTTCTGCAAGAGGTCTTCCTTGATCAAGGATACTGAAGCTCCTGTATCTAATAGTATATTAATCTCAGTACTTTGCACTCTACCCTTAATAGTAACAGGGCACAAATGTTTAACATAGCAAGACGATATATGCAAACGACACTGCTTACCTCTGTTTTTCACGCGGTTATGACCGCATTTCTTGGCATTTTTGCCGAAACGCCTGCAGTAGAAGCATTCTGTTTGCTGGCCTCGATAGTTGTCTCTTGACGACCGTCCGTTCCATGTGGAAGTCGGCTGCCCTCGTCTACTATTCCGGTCAGGGAACTCTCTAATAGCCGCGGCACTTTGAAAGCTGTCTTGTCGATTAGGTTCGGTGGCTTCATCGATAGTCATCACGGTTGGTCGATAGGTCTCCAGTAGAACTGACAGTCTTTCAGCAGTCAAGAATCGAAGTGCCGTTCGTTTCAAGTCGGTTGTGTCAGCCGGTGGCACTCGAAGTAGATGTTCTCGCAGCGCACCTGGCAGCAGTCCTTCAATGAAACGGGAGCGTGTAATTTCTTCTCGCCCCAAGATGTCCAGGCTAGGGAATCCCTGAGTTGCTATCCTCTGTAATGAGTGAAGATAGTCGATGGGGCTTTCATGAGGTTTCTGGTGGCGAGACAAAAATTGGATGGCTGACTGCTGGGTATCCACCTTCAACGAAAAACATTCATCTAAAATCTTCCAATTTTGAGATGGTGAATTGCACGCAGTAAAGCCGTTAGCTGTCGCTCGTTTCGCTGCTTCGTCATCTAAGTAGGACAGAAGGTAGTCGAAGTGTTCCGAAGTTGGAACTCGACGTAGGCACGTCATTACTCTAATTTTCCAGATGTCATAGTCTGATGAGACGCCTAACAGTGGCGGTTGGCGAGGGGTTGTGTTGACTGTTAACTTGCCAGGGATGGCTGGGGGTTCATCATGTTTTGACATAAACACCTCCATCACCACTTGTAGCACGTATTCTTAGCGTTTACTTGCAGGCAGGAGCAATCTGAAACACAACACAACAGTCAGGACTGGCAGATGCCACTCAAGTGAGAACACGGCGTGCGAGCACAACAGAGATATATTAGAAATTGAAATTCGCGGTTTTTGTACAAAAAGAGAAGTCTATTACAAAGTAGTTTTACTCATCATCCAGCAGGGTTAGTTTGCGCAAGCTTTGTTCTCCTTCTAATACGTTCACTTTCTGTTGTCCTGCAATAACGAAAACAAACCTGCATTAGTAAAGTTACACGTAATGATTTTCGATACTGTTACACCGAACGTAACCGAACCCGTGCAAGGTCACAATCAAAGGAAGGAAGAATGCCTTTAGTGCAGATAAACAAGCAAGTGATATCCATTGGAAGGTCTGTGTGTGCTTCTTCTACATCTTGTGGGTTCAATCGAGCTGGCATATTCAAGAGTTCCACGAGACGTTCTACCCACCTGTTCCTCATTCCTTGAATCCCAGTGAATGGTTTGCCTTAATGATCCTTGACTGGTCTCTCAGGTTCAATATATTTCCCTGAATGTTTCAAACAACATATAATTGTTTGATATTTCCTTCTCTGGCAGCTTTTCTGCTTTCATCGTTAGTTCATCCATATATTCCATCTTATCAGCTCTTTACTCGTTTCCTACTTCTGTTTATTTAGCATGTCCCTCTGGGATTTTTGTGCGACCATCATTAACTGCTGTCTTTGTGTTCTTTCATTCTTCAATCCTGCCAAAGTTATTAATACAGATGCACTCTTATTGGTTGTGCTTTTTGTGGCCCAGGTGTTCCTCGAGCTTTGAAGTTATTGCTTCTCCGACCCCTCTCCAGTTGTTTTCCATGGTTATTTCCTGCTTTTTTAAGATCATTCAGCGCTTCTAACCTTTTGTAGATAGCCATCTTGAATTCATTGATTTTGTCCGTATCGCGAGGGTGGTCTGTATTAAACTTTTATAATGACATCTCTTAACTAATAGAAATGTGATCGATCTGGTCCTCTCTAGTCTGATCTGGTGAGACCCATGTGGCTTTATATATGTACTTGTGGGGTAATATAGTGCCAGCTGTAACAATTTTGTTGGAGGCCCGTAAGTTTACACATCTGTCACCATTCTTCTTCCTTTCTCTCAGTCAGGCCATGTCGTTTCATGATATCGTCATACTCGGTTTCAACCATTCTGACTTTAGCATTTAGTTCTCCCATCAGGCTGGTTAGGTCATTTCCTAGACACTTCTCTATGATCGACTACAGCCTCTCATAAAACTGATCGTTGTTGTCTTTGTTGCTATCATTAGTGGGTGTACAACACTAGATAAAATTCATTGTAATCTCATCCTTTGTTATCAAAAGGTACTTGGACGCTAATGGATCCATGAGATTCCCATCCTATAAAAGCAGTTCATGCTCCTTCAGATGGCATCAGTGCAACCTCTTGATCATGGAGCATTTTATTCTTTATGATTAGAGTACAACAGCATCTCTCCTGAATCTAATATTTTCTGTCCAGCCGCACCTTCCCGTTTCTACATTGTCCGGACATTTCATGTGCCCATGTGAATTGTTGTTCTGGTTGTCAAAAGTGGCATCGGCATTGTGTCTCACGAAGAATCTCGGATTTCTTCACTGAGAGTCATAATTCTTCTGAAAGGAGGTCCTTCAACCCCGAGGACAGAATTTAAGTGGTTTAGTTTGTTCATTGTGGTTAGTGTTTATTTAGCTAGGTCATTTTCTGCGAGATCGGGTTGCTGAACCCATGCCCAACCGTCCTCTTTTATGTAGGCTTGGGACCGTCAGTAACCCTAGAAGAGCTATAGGTGGAGTTCGTACAACTACACGCATATATAAAATCGCTTAAAAATGACATGTGAATGCTCGAAAATCTCTTAGATTAGGTGATGAGCACGGCTACCTGCGCAAATCTTGCTCTGGTTTTTGTTATATACAGTGCGGTCTCTGAATTTGTACTACTTTTTACTATTTCAGGACGAATTGAGTGATGATTTATTTTGGATGTATAGGTTATCAAGAAGTGTTTATGGACTTAGCAAATCTCCTGGTTTCCTTCCGAATATGTTGTCTTGATAAAGCGGACGTCAGACATGGCCTTGAAAGACAAGATAGGTCAACGTATTCTCGAGATACAGGCTTCCCCACCGAGTAGTCAAATCTCAGAACCTACTGCTAGATTATTCATGATATGAATTCCGATCTCGTCATCCAAAAGGATATAAGAACACCCGTGGAAACTGTTTAGAAAACGAATAAAAGATCCTGCCTTCTGTTCTCAAGACGAAATGTATGTAGTCGGAATGTGGTCCATCATTTTTACACTATTTGTCTTCAGTCTTCCTCGTAACGATAAAAGAGCAGTCGGCCAGCAATAATCTTCAAGCTTGAAAACTGCGTTCAAGCTGTGAGCCCCTGTTTAAAAAGAGACTCGAATATTCTGGAAAATGTATAGAGGACAGATGCCCGTGGGATTCCAGAACTCCGGGGTTTACCATATAAAGAGCGGTTTGAAAATTTAGATCTCCTAACTCTGTCCTACCACAGATTAAGTTGTGATCTGATTTTAGCTTACAGAATGCCAAAAATGATTTTAGGCCCAATATATAACATATTACCCGAAACAACTGTGGCCGCACCTTCAGTCGACTCACTCAAAAGAGGTTAGACTTTCATAGAAGCAAACTAGAAAAGGAATAACATAGGCCGTAGGCCTTCTGTCCGCGTCTTATGCTCTTTGGCTGCAGATAGAACATTATAAGTATCAAAGTTACATTAGCTATTGACACATAAATTAGAAAAATGGGTTTCTAATCATACATAGTGAATTTTATAGTTTTTATTAACTAGTGGTTTTCTCCTGAAGGTCATTGTTATTTTGTCTGGGTTCATGGGGTTGTTTACTATTTTAAAAAAGCTTAAACAGAAAGAGAAGGAAGTCCGGGTGTTAATACTGTAAGCAAGAAAGTGAGAATAAGTTGTTGGCAAAATTATTTGATTGACTTTTTAAACACTGATAATTATGTTTGAAGCTTCGAATCTTGTACGATATGCGATCGTACACGATATCTTACATTTGAATATCCCATGTTCACAATCTGTCGTGGTGTTGGTTACGAAGTACTTCTTAATCCTGTTAGAGACGAGGATTGTCTGTCATCCATTTGCCTAAGTGTCACAGGTCTCTGTAAATTTAGCCAACGTTTCGAATTTTATATCCCATATATGTTAGACCACATTTAGAGTACTGTATCCAAGCAGCTAGCCCGTGTCTAGTAAAGGATACTAACTCCCTTGAGCGTGTCCAGCGTGTGGGAACGAAATTAGTGAAGGGTCTTTCTAGACTCCCTTACGATGAGCGCTTAAAACGCCTAAATCTTTTCCCCTTGTCGTATCGTAGGATACGAGGTGACCTTATACTGGCATTTCGTATCTTTAATTATGATTTGGGTGTTAATATGTCTTATCTTTTTGCTCCCTCCAGCACTAATAATCTCCGAGGTCATAGCAAGAAGGTTCATAAACCACGATCTAATAAACTTAAAGTGGGATCCCGTTTTTCTCATCGAGTAGTCAATCATTGGAACGCCTTACCCGAACAAGTGGTATCAGCCCCATCAGTGAATACTTTCAAGGAAAAGCTGGACCTTCACTGGAAAGCAATGTGTCAGGATTAACACAGGTTCATCAACCTACTATCCTTATGACTGAAGACTGAAGACTGAACATACTCATGTGTAGTTTCCTGCGACAAATGCTTCTTATCCCTCCATTGGATACACACAGAACTGTCCCATAGAAATAATCAGATAATAGAGTGAACTTAAGCAATTTTTTTCAAGTTCGTTGCATGCGAACGGCTTTCTGCGTCGGTGAGTATTCGTTGCGGATTATATTACATTACCGTGCTTCGGTTTGGGCACCCGGGCAGTATCACAGCCCTCACACATATCAGATGAGATCTGTGTAGCGCATATGTATTTGGGGCTTCCTCGCACCAAAATTTATATGTTAAGATAAATAACAAGTAAATATTACATTACAGAGAGCGTCCACTGATTTCCAGTACTGAAATTTATGGTAAGCTATTACATCAGAACCAAAAAAGTAGCTGTTAGGGCTCTATCTGTTTTGTCTCTTTTAATGAACCTCCAGGGTATCGTATAGGACAGTCCTCACTAAAGCGGTCTGATACGTAGGGGAAGCTGACAAATATTAGGTGGAGTTGAGATAATAGTCCACAAATACACTGACTATTACACTGACCATTTAGGGGTGTGAATTTTTTGCTTCGGTTATTTAGAATGATTGTGCTCCACCATAAGTTTCGGTAGATCTGATCAATGTCTTATTTATGACGCGCTAGATATTGGGCACCTTGTTTCTTTTTCATTTAATACCCATGTGTTTTTCCCATTTTCACTTTGATTACATTTCGGGTTTTTCCATGCTGTTTTAGTCCATCGCAACTTAGGCCGGTGTCTTTTGAGATCATTAACACTAATGTATCTGTCTGTTAGATAACTCAATGAAAATAGATATTACTGACCGTAAAATGGAACTGTTATTAAGTTATAAAACGATGTCAGTTATATCCTCTGAATTGCGTTTGAAAGTTTCTGATTTAAATTATGCTTTACCTACTCTGATTTTAGTAAGCAAGCAGCACAAATCTGTACTCAATAACTGAATTGGATTCTATATTTTACCAGGGAAATCTAATATTGTAATTTATCGTTTCAAATTGTCATGATCAGCAGCAGCTATATGTGGTGGTTAGAACCTCACTATTGGTATGGAAACGTATTATCGAGTTGCTTGGCATGATAACGCTGGTAATTAGTCAGGTTTTCTATTTGATAACCACTTAAGATACTGTCCAAAGCGAGATAAACGTCTTATGGTCTGGTGCTAATATGTTTTTGACTTGAGTTGGTGTATTTTACGCCACTATGTAATGCATCCGTGCGACTTTCAAATCATAAAGTTCGATTATGTTGCTGACATTAACCAAAAAGGTTAGCTTAAACTAGCAGTTAGTGCCTTCGTAAATAAGTGCATCTTCTTAGTGGAGAACAGGAATCCTCTCGTAGATGCTGTCAGCCAAACATTTCTTAAAAACAATGGAATTAATATTTTCTTATGATGTAGGTTGGAAATTCAGTTTATCATAAGATAAATGTTAGGGTAACTTAGCGTGTTAACAAAATACAGTATGAAAATTTCCCGTAAAATCCTATGCTTTTTGGAGTTTTTTTCGGAACGAAATCGGGTAAGACAAAGGTATAATTTTAAGTAGGTACTATTCATGCTCCGCCTAGAGCCCCTCCGGGGGCTACTGCCGGTCCCAAGCCCGGATTAAGGAGGAGGGTTGGACATGGGGTTAGCGACCCCATCCCTTAGAAAACTAACTCGCTAAAAAAACGCTAACCAGAAAAACTATTCATGGTCATTAAACCCTAATTCACCCACTTTATTTAGGATATTTGGTGAGGTTGACCCATTCAGCCCCATACGCAACGTAGTTGGCACATGTGCCTCGGTTCAAGTTGCCAACACACCAAAACAATCAAGTGAAACGGTTTAGGAAAATCTAAATGCAGTACAGATAATAACAGTATTGTTTTTAATAAGAAAGATTAAGTATGGGCAATATGATTCGAGAAAAGAGATGAGTTAGTGGAATGAAAATAATTGATAAGGTCATTTAGAGTCTTAAGGTTAAAGAGAAAATCAAGAGTGAACGCCTATGTATTATTGTTAACAATTCTGAGCCATTTTATCAAATCTGTAACCATTGCTTGGGAAAAATGCACAGACAAACTAAGTAGTCTGCACCTATCTACATAATGGAGTTGAACTGACAATGGCTTCATGGATCAATTCCACATTTCGGTTTGGCCTCCCCTAGCCAGTTTAAAATCTACTCTACACCAACGATCATCATACACCAAGGATGGTTAATATTAACCAAAATAGGTTAAATTGGTCATAATTTACCATACTGTCACTAAAAAGGAAGTTTGAAGAAAGCTAGGGACGACCAAACCAAGATGCAGCACCATTCTATAGAGTCATTACCAATTCGACCGAGCCATGTGAATAGGTGTAAACTACCTGTTTGGGGTCCGTGTCATAATCGTTACCAATTAATAGAAACTTTGAAGAACACGGATCAGAATCGTTCACTATGGAGGAGTTACACTCACTATTTGTTTCCTGTAGAATCCGAGTCCCGAAATCTATTCATATCTTTCCTCGTTCATACTATCCCTAAGACATTTACCACTTTTGCTATCCCTATCTTTAAAAAGGGTTCACGTCGTTCTTGTAACAACTATCGGGGGATAAGTTTACTTCCGATTGCGTCCAAGCTATTGGCTTCCGTCATTCTTCGTAGGTTGTTCAAAACCCGAGAAAGATTGACTCGCGAGGAGCAGGCTGGGTTTCGTTCTGGTCGAGGATGTATTGATCATATCTTCACCCTCCGACAAATGTTAGAACACCGCCATACTTTTCAAAGGCCAACAATCTTAGTGTTTCTTGACATCAGGGCTGCCTTCGATTCGTTGGATAGGACTGTTCTCTGGGATTGTCTATTGAAGAAGGGTGTGCCTGGGAAGTTTATTAACATCCTAAAAGCCCTGTATAAAAACACCTCAGGCAGAGTGAGGGCATACAACCACCTCTCTCCATTGTTCCATTCGAGCAGTGGGGTTAGGCAGGGTTGCCCAATCTCACCATTCCTCTTCAACTTTGCCATCGATGACATTCTAGAAACAGCTCTGATGAATGTAAGTAATGGTGGTGTGGATCTGTTGCCTGGAGAAAGACTTCTCGACCTTGAGTATGCGGACGATATTGTCTTACTGTGCGATAATGCCCAAGGCATGCAATCCGCACTTAATCAGTTGGCAATCAGTGTCCGTAGGTATGGTATGTGCTTTGCACCTTCGAAGTGCAAAGTACTTCTACAAAACTGGCAGGATTCTAATCCTGTACTCACCCTGGATGGTGAGCAGATAGAAGTAGTCGAGAAGTTCGTGTATCTGGGTAGCTGCATAAGTGCTGGTGGGGGTGTGAGTGATGAGATCAATGCACGAATAGTGAAAGCCAGAGCGGCTTATGCCAATCTGGGTCACCTTTGGCGCCTTCGTGATGTTAGTCTGGCTGTGAAAGGCCGGATCTACAACGCGTCGGTGAGAGCAGTTTTGCTCTATGCTTGTGAAACCTGGCCTCTCCGAGTTGAGGACGTTAGACGACTCTCTGTGTTCGATCATCGCTGTCTCCGAAGGATTGCTGACATTCAGTGGCAACACCATGTCAGTAATGCAGAGGTTCGGCATCGTGTGTTCGGGCACAGAGATGATAACTCAATTGGTGTCACCATCTTGAAACACCGACTTCGGTGGCTTGGACATGTTCTCCGAATGTCGTCCCAGAGAATTCCACGTCGTGCATTATTTGCCGACTCTGGGACTGGTTGGAAGAAGCGGAGAGGTGGTCAGTGCACGACATGGTGTCGTGGCATGAAAGAAAGCTGCAAAGGACTGGCTTGTGTTGGTCCTTCACGACTCCCTGGCTGGGGTCCGAGAGATGGTGCTACACAGTGACTAGAGACGTTGTCAGATATGGCTCAGAATAGAAGCCAATGGCGATCCTGCTGTAACCTTCTTTTACTTTCTTCATAAAAAGTGGTTGTGTCTCCTTTACCTGAAAGATTTCTTCTGATTGTACCTTTTCGTTCCGTCGTTACTACCACACTACCTTACTCCAATCTCTTCGTCATTGTTCTCTTTTTCTTTTGCGTTCCTTAGTTTTTTTTTTTCTTTCTACTTCTCTTCGAATTCCCATTGTTTTGTGTGGCGCATATATATTGGCGCTCTATTGTACCAATATTTATGTGTTCAAATAAAATAAATAAAATAAACTTTTGCTATTGTAGGATTTGTTTCGAAACGATTTTGTCTGTGATAATGTAGTGTGACAACTTGAACCGATGTACATAATTGTCAGGTCCTATGTTGCATATGGCTGTCTGATTGAAAAAACTCGACCCTTTATACAGGTTTTTTCTCACTTGGATTATTTTGAAAGACGATTGTTAGTATGCATTTGGTAAAATTCTTCCAGAACTGATTAAAATATTTTATATTATATTTTGCTATTATAGAGGATTAGACAATGCTGGCAAGACAACCATCGTAAAGAAATTTAATGGTGAAGACATAAACAGTATATCTCCAACACTAGGTTTTAGTATTCAAACACTAGAACATATGGGGTATCCAATCAAATTATCAACATTATTCTAAGTATATATTTTTAGTTTCAAATTGAATATATGGGATGTCGGTGGACAAAAGTCTTTGCGATCATATTGGCGAAACTATTTTGAAACTACTGACGCATTAATATGGGTTGTGGACAGCTCAGATCGCCTTCGTCTAGAAGATTGTCGGGTAGAACTATCTAAACTGCTAGTTGAAGAACGATTAGCCGGTGCTACTTTACTTGTGTTCGCTAACAAACAAGTAAGATCAGTAACTGTATTTCCAATTGGTTACTTGAACTAATTATATTTTTCATAGACTTTTCAGTTCACTTAATAGACAATTTGCGTAATCATTGTAGCTAACCAGATATCCTAATAATAAACATATTTTTGTGATATCTCAACAAGTGGAAAATTATATTTCGGACGTTTCATGACTTGATGCAAGTCACTTCTTTTGTTATTTATTTATTTATTTAAACACATAAACATTGGTACAAGGAGGCATCAAATAGATATGTGCCACATAAATCATTCGATTGGTGTGAGGGCTGGGATACTGCCCGGGTGCTCAGACCGAAGCAGGTGGTTTTCTTAGGGGGCCACACCACGAGCCTTCGACCTGAAGGTCTGACCCACAAGGCGATAGAGCATCGTGAGGAGATGCAGTCCTATGGTAGCCGTGACCAACGATTGGTTCACACGCCATTTGTTCCCGCAGGGTACTGGAGCCCATGTGCACCATTGATTTGGATCCGGTTAAAGCTCCGGACATTCGCTTTTCGTCCTCTCACTTTCGTAAACAACACCCCTGCCACGAGAAGGCAGTGAGTAAAACTTCCCTGGCAAAGGCTGTGTGAGAGCATTTCGAGAGAGAGGGAAATGCCCCCTAAAGTTTTTGACACTCGAAGGAAAGATCAGAAGGACCGAATGATAATTCTACGAGTAAAAATTGTAGCTTGCATCACGGGAGAAGGAGTAGATCATTATAAGTAGAACAGCGAGTTATCCAAACAGCCTGAATTTCGAACATTCCTTTGGGTGTTTTGGGTAATAGGAACGGAAATAATGTAAGTGTCCATACAAATGAGAGGGGTTTCGAAAGACATGTACCCTACATTTTCCATATGCTCGTGGAAATCATGCAACCTGGCCGCCTGAGACTATCATATGTGGCTCAGAATATAAGTTAGTAGTTATATTTCTGTCTTCACCGGATCACTCTACACAAAACCAAATCGACCATATTTGCATCAACAAAACGTTCAGGAGGACTATAGAGGACGTGAGAACCAAGAGAGGAGCTGATATAGCATCATATCATCACTTACTGGTCGCCAAGATGAAATTGAAACTCAAGAAGCACTGGACAACGGGGCAGACAGTATCACAAAAGTTCAATTCGGCCTTTCTCCAAGATACTAACAAACTCAACAAATTCAAGATAGTCCTCAGCAACAAGTTCCAGGCCTTTCATGATCTACTCAATGGAGAAGGAACTACTATGGAGAGCAACTGGAAGGGGATCAAAGAGGCAATCACTTCAACATGTCATGAGGTCCTGGGTCACAAGAAGCACCACCACAAGGAATGGATCACTGTTGATACACTGGATAAGATTCAAGAAAGAAGGAACAAGAAGGCAGCAATCAATACCAGTCGAACAAGAGCAGAAAAAGCCAAGGCACAAGCTGAATACACGGAAATAAACAAACAAGTGAAGAGGAGTATCAGAACCGACAAACGTAACTATGTGGAAGATTTAGCAACGACGGCGGAAAAGGCTGCAAGAGAAGGAAACATGAGAGAACTGTATGACACGACAAACAAACTCTCTGGAAATCGCCGCAAACCAGAAAGACCAGTGAAAAGCAAGGAAGGCAAGGTAATCACCAACATTGAAGAGCAACAAAACAGGTGGGTAGAACACTTCAAAGAACTGTTGAATCGACCAGCTCCACTGAACCCACTCAACATCGAAGCAGCACCCACGGACCTCCCAATCAATGTTGGCCCACCAACAATTGAAGAAATCAGCATGGCCATCAGACAAATCAAGAGTGGCAAAGCAGCAGGACCGGACAACATCCCAGCAGAGGCACTAAAAGCAGACGTAGCGGCAACTGCACGGATACTCCACATTCTCTTCAATAAGATTTGGGATGAGGAACAAGTACCAACAGACTGGAAAGAAGGACTACTGATCAAAATACCGAAGAAAGGCGATCTCAGCAAGTGTGATAACTACAGGGGCATCACTCTCCTCTCAATACCGGGAAAAGTCTTCAACAGGGTATTGTTAAACAGGATGAAGGACTGCGTAGACGCCCAACTTCGTGACCAACAGGCAGGATTCCGTAAGGATAGATCGTGTACAGACCAAATCGCAACTCTACGGATAATTGTGGAACAATCAATTGAATGGAATTCATCACTCTACATCAACTTCATTGACTACGAAAAGGCATTTGATAGCGTGGACAGAACAACACTATGGAAACTTCTTCGACACTACGGCGTGCCTCAGAAGATAGTCAATATCATACAGAACTCATATGATGGATTACACTGCAAAATCGTGCATGGAGGACAGTTGACAAAGTCGTTCAAAGTGAATACCGGTGTTAGGCAAGGTTGCTTACTCTCACCCTTTCTCTTTCTCCTGGTGATCGACTGGATCATGAAAACGTCAACGTCTGAAGGAAAGCGCGGGATACAATGGACATCTAAGATGCAGTTGGATGATCTAGACTTCGCAGACGATCTGGCCCTTCTATCCCAAACGCAACAACAGATGCAGGAGAAGACGAACAGTGTGGCAGCAGCCTCAGCAGCAGTAGGTCTCAATATACACAAAGGGAAAAGCAGAATTCTCCGATACAACACAGAATGCACCAATCCAATCAAAATTGACGGAGAAGATTTGGAAGATGTAAAAACCTTTACGTATTTGGGCAGCATCATTGATGAACAGGGTGGATCTGATGCAGATGTGAAGGCGCGGATCGGCAAAGCAAGAGCAGCATATTTACAACTGAGGAACATCTGGAACTCAAAGCAACTGTCAACCAACACCAAGGTCAGGATTTTCAATACAAATGTCAAGACAGTTCTACTGTATGGGGCAGAAACCTGGAGAACTACAAAAGATATCATCCAGAAAATACAGGTGTTTATTAACAGTTGTCTACGCAAAATACTTCAGATCCATTGGCCGGACACTATTAGCAACAACGTACTGTGGGAGAGAACAAACCAGATCCCAGTGGAGGAAGAAATCAGGAAGAAGCGCTGGAAGTGGATAGGACACACATTGAGGAAAGCACCCAACTGTGTCACAAGACAAGCCCTCACATGGAATCCTCAAGGTCAAGGGAAAAGAGGAAGACCAAAGAACACATTACGCCGGGAAATAGAGATAGACATGAGAAAAATGAACAAGAATTGGATGGAACTAGAAAAGAAGGCCCAGGATAGAGTGGGTTGGAGAATGCTGGTCAGCGGCCTATGCTCCATTGGGAGTAACAGGCGTAAGTAAGTAAGTAAGTAAGTTATATTTCTGTAAAGTGAAATGAAATTTCTTAACTAAAACAAACTTCTCTTGCTTGTATCTCATCAAATAGTATTCTTGTCCACTTTTTTGTTGACTGTAAAACTACCCCCCTTCCATTATTTTACAATATTATTTGATTTTTTTGGCTCATGTTTTTCGAGTGCAATATTGTTAGAGAACTTTTATGTGTGCTAGGGTTGGTGCTGTCACGAGTTCACTTAATCTGCGAACGAGAGCAAAGACTCAGTGACCAAAGACCAGTAAGTTAGCTATGTGATGCATCCCAGCCCCACTAACTAGAGGGAGAGGTCCAAACTTGGAATGGGAAAGTATATTCTTCAACACCCGACCGTTGTCGCTACCTTGACGTGGTGGTCGGGCTTGCCTATTGTGATGAAGCAACCGAGCTATACTGACTGGAACAACTGTTTCTCAAGGTCCTACCATGTCAGACAGGTCGGTTGAAGGACGCTAAGACTAAAAGCAACAAACCCAAGGTCCGAAGGCGAAGTCCAACTGCTGAATACACAGAGGTGTGAGGGCAGTAAGGTGTTTCCCCCAGACAACCAGCATAACAGCAATGCTGCCTTCCCACAAAGAAGGGTGCGGTCAGAAAACGTCGACCCTAAGAATGCACACCTCACCTTATCCCATGAATTTCCGTCTCCGGTGGCAAGGTCTTAACAGGTACGGAGCTAACACAAAAATTGCCCATAAAAAGATCGTGTGTGACCGACCTCAAGCAGTTGTCTGTTGGGCACTGCGGTCACGCTCCCAGGTCACTAAGACTACCTCTAATCCGATTTCCTCCAGAAGAACCCTTCCACGGTGTGGGCAACCAGGAAGTGATAACCGCCCTCATACCTCTAACTGCACTCAAGACCACTGTATTCATAATCAACCTCCCTATTCATTCTGCAGCAGCCAGAAACGAGCGATCACCCAAACACAATTCAAACATATATCTATCAATTATATGTATATAATCGATATTGCCATCGAAGTATTTCCAAACATTTAATCGACAAGTTAGCCAATCGACTGCCATTGAAATATTTAAACATTTAATCGATAAGAATAGTTTAGTTCATTAACAATTATACGGTAAAATATACGTATAGTATTTGTTCCACAAATGGATTCCAAAAATTACCACTGATTATTCTTATCGGGGCATAACAATGTGCTATAAATAAATTTAACAAATCAAAGTTTCTATGGTTTTAGTTCGTATGTTTTTTTGTGTGGATAGAATACCTACTGAATTACTGAGACGAAATTGAATTTGGCCATATGTTATCATCCCAAGTTGTTATACTTTTAAAATAATGAAACTATAGGTGGATGATGTTGATTTATTGGTCGTAACATTTGATATTCAGCCAGTAGGTTACGTCTTACACCACTTACTTTGACTTAAACAACCGGATATTATCACTAACCCTCACATCGTCAATGTAGTTCAGAAATAATTACACAAACATACTGACTTACGCCTGTTACTCCTCGTGGAGGAGCATAGGCCACTCATCAGCATTCTGCATTCAACCCTGTCCTTAGCGATCCTTTTCAGCTCTTTCCAGTTGTTATTCATCCTTTTCATATCTGCTTCTATTTTCCCACATGTGTTCATTGGCCTTCCTCTTTTCCGCTTCCCTTCAGGATTCCAAGTTAGCGCTTGTCTCGTGATGTAGTTTGGTGATTTCCAAACATGTACTCGGTAATTTAAGTTAAACATGGGTTAAGTGATGGATGAAAATTATTTACTGAACAAATGCCTTAGTACGGTGGAGAGTGGAGAGAGTCAGCTCCCCCTCTCGAAATGCTTTCAAGTAGCCACGTGTATACAACCACTAACAGAGAAGTCCTACTCACTGCCTTCTCGTGGCATGGGTGTTAATTACGAAATTGAGAGGGCAAAAAGTGAATATCCGGCGCTTTAACCGGGTCGGTGAATACGTAGGATCCACCCAGGGAAGTTGAAAAACCCTGATCCCAAACCAATGGTGCACATGGGCTCCAGTATCCTGAAGGAAAAATCGTTGGTCACCGGCTACCATGGGACTGCATCTCGACGTTGCTTCACTGCCTTGTGGATTAGACCATTATGTCAAAGGCTCCCGGTGTGACCCCCTAAGAAACGATTGCTCCAGTCAGTATAGCTCGATTGGTTCATTACGATAGGCAAGCTCAACCACCACGTCAAGGTGGCAATAACGGTCGGGATTCAATCCAGCTATCATTCAAACTTGTCATTATTAATCAAAACATTTGTATTTTTCATTTTAGGATTTATCTTCATCATTGAAACCATCACAAATACGTGAATTATTACATTTAGATGAGATAACAACACATCATTGGTTAATTCTTGGTTGTAGTGCAGTTACTGGGGAGAATTTACTAGATGGTATAAATTGGCTACTCAAAGATGTATCTTGTAGAATATTCTCATCAGATTAATTACTTTCTATTTCAAATCGCCGTCGTTAGGATTTACTCTCTTTTTTCAAAAGAAATCAATTTGTGTAATTACATCATCAACAATGTTTATCATAATTCCTTATATATGAAAATAACATTGGTAACATGATTTTGTGCGTAAATAATAAGCATATGATATGATTGTACACATTACTTATGCCTGTAAATATAATAATTATTCCAAATATTATTTCTTTTCCGTTCATGGAAGACCTTTAAATGACGTTGCATTGATCTTCATAATGTTCACTTACTTACTTACTTACTTACACTTGTTACTCTCAATAGAGCATAGGCTGCCGATCAGCATTTTCCAACCCACTCTGTTCTGGGCCTTCCTTCCTAGTTCTATCCAATTTTTGTTTGCCTGTCTCCATTTCTCGATGTAATGTGTTCTTTGGTCTTCCTCTTCCTCTTTGTCTTTGAGGATTCCAGGTGAAGGTGAGGGCTTGCCTTGTGACTTAAACTTACAGGGTGGTTATAAACTAGTGTGAGAAGTCAAGATTAGGAATTATGGCTGTACGTTTGCGTTAGGAGTTGGACTTAAGGTTTTTTTATCACGAGCTGATATAAGATATAATGTCAAATTGCTACTTAGCAAATGAATGGATGACTTTCGCGCCAAAATCTAAAACATGTTATCTTAAATCTCATTGACTCGTTCATAAATTATAGTTTCGCCGGAAGCGTATATACGACTGACACTTGCTGCATATACCATTGAAGGTTATCTTGGGTCTACTATCGATGGTTTCACTTACCACTGAATTCATGTAGAGATTGTTTGAGGCCTGTCATTCGTGGAGTTCTTCGCATTGGTCGGTTTTATAATGTTGCTTCAGTAATCTCTACAACTTTCGCATCGGAAATTTGGGAGTCAAGGGATTTTGTGAAGGATTGTTTGAGATGTTGGTTATTTGAGGATACATATAATTGGCATCACACCCCAATATGATTCCAACATAATTTCTTCCACGGGCCTTGCAAACTATGACAGAATTGCACCACAGCTGTCGCTGGAGAAGTTTCGTATGTTACAACATTAGTCTCTAAATGCTTGAAAAACAAGATTTTGTACCCCATTAAGAGCTCATCTAAGCCATGGTTTATTAAAGATTTCTGGTCGAACAAAACACATTGCCATCAAGCACCGTTAAAGGGGCTCGATAGAAGACAATCATTCATTCTGGAGCACATGTTTAGACTCGAATCCTGCTCTAGTTCGAGCACGTATTTGACTGCGCCTTATTGGACGTAGAAAAGCCATGACAAAAAACCACTTAGAGTTCAACTTAATGATAAAAAAGTTAAGAATACACATAAGGAATAATTAGAGAAGTCAGTCAATCATGAAAGTGATATCCACTCTGAGGTAACTTGGAATGATATATCAAAAGAGCTATGGGAACAGCAGTGATATCTACTAGTAACATGAACCAATAGGTCAAGAAAAAACTAGATTTCAGCGGCATTTACTGGACTGATAGATGTTAGGGTACTTATCTCGTTTGGCTCCGAACACGATTAGCGGAAGCAACTTAAACGTAGGCTGATAAAAAACCTACATAAAGATCGTGAGAAGTGATGGGTAGTGGAAGCAAAAGAGATGGGAAGGGCAGCTGTGATAAGTAACAGTAGACAACTGTTTAGACGTTTCAAGGAAACGAGTATTAATAAGCCGGCTGTTAGTGAGACTATCTCGGAAAAAGTCCGGACTATTATTCACTGTCAATCCAGAAGACTGAAGCGATGGGCAGAACATTTTAGTGAACAGTCCAACTGACTTTTAGTCACATTTCGGTTCCCCATAATGCCAACCTGAGTTACTTGTGTTGTGGGCGAGAAATCCATATTTCAAACAAAGGTGAGTTAACTGCGCAGCAATTCACTCTGTCCTATTTTATGGATGTGAAACATGGTCATTCAGAATAGAAGTTAATCGTAGGCCACTAGAATTCGATCATAGGTGTCTGTAAAGCATTGCTGATGTATTTTGGGATTACGGAGAAAGTAATGGGTGGGTTAGGAATATAGTACTAGGTAAAGATGGGGTATCGATTGATGAGGTGGTAAATCTTCAGCAACTGAGGTGATTGGGACATGTTGCGTATCCCCAACCACCGCCTAGGTTGATGGGCGATGTGTGGCAGTAGGCTTCAAGAAAGCTAGGGATGGCTCAACCAACACATGGCACCAGTTCATAAAGACACTGACGATTGGACTTATCCATGTTAATAGGTATATACTACCTGGTCGAGTGCGCGTTGTTAGTTTAACCAATGGTTATAGACTTTGAGTGACATGGCTCCAAATCGTCAGCAATGGCTCAGTTGCATCCATTCTTCGTCTTCCCTCGAATTTTGAGCTTTTGAATTCCTCGTCGTTTAATATTTTTATTTTGCAAATTTATACTTTCTTTTCGAGTCATATCGTCGATGCCTAGTCTTTTATATTACCACTGATACTGTTACTATTTCTACTATTCCGGGACTTGAATTTATAACTATCTCTGTGCTAATACGGTATGGCAAATTGGATTGATGTACATACGTACCACGTTCGAAGTTGTGACAGACTGAGTGAAATACGCTTGGTAGATAATAAGTTAGTAGTGGAAGTTTTCTACCTCTTCCAACAGGCGTGATTAGGGCACCTAAATCGTTTTCTTGTAGCTTATGGTTGTTCATAGTAGTGATTCTTCTATGACTGATCATTTCTGAGGCTGTCACAAAATTAAAAAAAATCATCATTGAATAAACATCAGTCGAGATTTTTCGTTATCTATCAACTAAAAGGTCTATATTAGCCGAAACCAATAAACTTTATCAAACATCTCCATGGAAATGCTTCCTTTCAAGGTTTTACACAAGTTGACCAACCTACTGATGAGTAAGAAAAGTTGAATGATTAACGGAGTATTTGAACAAATGAATATTGAATCATAGAAATAAATGTGGCCGCTGAAGCCTAGGGTAAATACCACCAAGCCAGGTGCATGCTTCATTATATATTTTTGGGTCATGATAATTATCCTTCCTCAGGTTCAGCTACGGAAACGTCGTTACAACTTTTACTTCATCTAAATGGTGAAATTAGTTCATCTCAGCACCAGTCGAGCGGCAAAGACACTACAACAAATAATCCAATGACCTCACTAAACCATTCAAACGGTAGTAGCAACGGGTGGTGTGTTTAAAGGGTAGGGACGCAATCAGAGCAAAGTTTATGACTTGCGCTTACCAGGAATTCCTCGTTCACGATTGTGATGAAACAATTTGCCAAACCCTTTCGAGCCAGGTTTCCAGACTCATTGGCACCGTCATTGTAGCGCATGTGCGGCCCCGGACATCTAACGGCATCACAGACATGTTATTGCTCAATTTCGTGCAACTTGGGTGTGCTGCTTGTCCCTCTAACAAGTAAAAACTGGCATCTTACCCGCCGGATCACGATCACACTACACCATAAAGAAGTTATAGAATCCGCGCCGTAAATGAGTACGGAGGATCAGTCTATTATTTAACAAGTCTATTTCTCATCGGAATTAACCAGACAAATCGCTTCAGCCAACTAAGAACAACCCTGAAGAAGTTCAAACAAGTTTGTTGGACGAAACATTGAAATTATTTAAATAATTAAAGAAAAATCTTACAAAAAAAGTAATGTATCTCATTCATTGAAATGAATGTTTGTTTGTTTTTTTTTCACAAGAAATATGATCTTTAAAGAAGAAGAAAGAAAGAAAGAAAAAAAAGAGAAAAGAATTTGTAAAATGTACTCATGATCCCGTTCAACCTGTTGAACGTGATCGTAAATGACCAAGATCTGTTGATAATTTCTGATCATTTCTATACGAATTGATAATACCGATTTTTTTATCATGTAATAATTCACCAACAAATTGACATTGTTTTGGTGTTTTCATTTCATCATTACTATTCAATGTCATATCATTTAACCATTGTTTCCATGGTACAATAATTTGTTTCGGTGGAATAATTAATTTTGGTTGATCATTTTTATTATTTGGATACCAGATTAATGATTGTGCTGCATTACAATGTGGTGGATTTATGGCGGATAATGGTAATTTTTTATTCTTATCTAATATAATTGGTTTTTCATATTGCGTATCATCAATATGTTTTAAACGTTTACCAATTGGTTGATATGGATCTAATCTGATATGTAATTTATATTGCCAACGTATTGTATTTAATATATATAATTCATCTTGTTCAATATTAATTAAATTATATGAATTTAATTTATAATTTCGACCATGTTTTATTGCTAATAACCATACTGAAAATTGTTGTCTTCTTATAATCTCAGTTAATAGTACATTATTATTGTTACCATGGGAATATGGTAGTTGCCATGCAATTGTTGGATAAAAATAATCTTTATAATGTAATTGAATTAATTTATTTGTTATATAACCATGATGAATGACATAGTTACTATGAAAAATATCATAAAATGGATATTGATTACCATCACTATCATTAATCATTTGATGTCGTCCTGTTTTAATTGGATGAAATTCCCATAATGTACTACCATAATTATTATAACATTGTTCTATATAATTTTTATAACATGCTTGTACTAAACCAATAGTCCAATATTGTTGATTAGTTATACAATCATCATTTATCATTAATTTAATATGACAATGAAAATGTTGACTTTTATATTTGAAAAAATTCGATTTTTCTATGATTTCTGTTTTACTATTTGGATCATAATAAGCATCAATAGATTGAACATGAATTTGATCTAATGAAAATGTTGACATTAATATGTTAATTAATTAATTAATTAATTAGATCTTTTCAATGATGACGATGATGATTTCAATGATCAGAAGTTCTTCTTCTTCGTTGTTGTTGTCGTCGTCGTCGGCGTTTTCTTCTTCGTCTTGTTACATTAATTCATTCATCTATAGTTACTTTAAATGTTTGTTATTGATTAATAATGATAGATCAATAATCAATATAATCTATCGTATTTGAACAGGGCGAGTTATATGAGAAGTTAATTAAATGTAGTTCTTTTCTATTTTATTTGATGAAAAGAATTTATTTTACTACTATTAAACATTAATTATCATCACGCACACACACACACACAATGTTGATTAGTATTGGGGAATGGTTGGAAGGAAATTAGGGGGAGGTC